CTTATTCTGTCATGGGATGGCCTGGAGATGTCACACATGGTGGCTTGCACGACTGTTGATTCTTAAGTGGAACCAAGGTGTGACCAAGCCCACACAGGAAGCAGTGAGATGTGTCCACAGTGAGGGCTAATCTTGCCGAGGCCCCAGATGAATCAGGGCCCCAGGCTCTGTGTTCCTCAAGCACAGGGCCAGTTCCTTCATCCTGGTGCCGCCAGGTCCAAGCTCACGGCTCTAAAGAACACTGCTCAATATTCAATGAATGATAGAGGCTCAGAGCATAACGGTCATCATTCAGGCCAACTCTGAGATCACACAAGGCTGTAACTGGTTCCACTTAAATTCATGACCACAAATATCAAGTGGGCCCTCACAGTTCCTGGAGATCTGACCACACATCTGAAATGTGTACACTCCCTGATTATTTTACACTTTCTTCCAAATGTCCAGCACCCTGATGATCTTGTGTAGCAGACCTGTGCTGGCTTTTGGTTCTCTAGGATCTGAACCTATTTGTAATCCTCCATTGTGTGGGTCTTGGTGAAAAGCAAGGAAAATAAAAGTCAGAGGGTCACTCCCTCACCCACCCCAGAACTGGGACTCAAGCCTATGACCTAGGATTGGCCAGTTTGGGGCTCTCAGCCAGGACTCTGACTCTGAGCTCATGATACCAAGGCCCAGGGCTCTGTAGAGGCTATTCATAGTGGTGCTCATTGCAGAGTGGTCTTGTGCTGGCAGCCCCATAGGAGGGACTTTCCCCAGACTGTTCTAGTCTGTGCTAGTTCCATGGACAAACAAAGATGACTCCTCAATTTTCATTTATAATTTATACCTTTCTACCGAGCTCCAAACTTGCATATGCAGCTGCTTACCTGATAGTTCCACATGGATAAGTAACAGGTATCTCAGATATTCCAAGACCCCAAAAAACCCTTTTCATCTTCTTACAAAACTTCTTACTTCTCAAGTTTTTCCTCCCTTACTAAATGGCACCACTAGCCACCCAGTTGCACAAATCAAAAATCTTTGAATCATTTACAAAACAGAAATAGACTCACAGACATAAACAAACTACGGTTACCAAAGAAGAAATGGTTGGGGTGGGGAGAAGGATAAATTGGGAATTTGGGATCAACAGATACACACCACTATATATAAAATAAACAACAAGGACCTACTGTATAGCACAGGGAACTATATTCAGCATCTTGTAATAACCTATAACAGAAAAGAATCTGGCAAAGAATATATATATGTATAATTGAGTCACTTTACTGTACACCCAAAACTCTGTAAATCAACTATACTTCAATTTAAAAAAAAAGCCTATGAGTCTTTCCCGATTTCTCTTTTTCTCTTAATGTTCACATCCAATTGAGTATGAGTCCTGTTGACTCTACCTTCAAAGTATACACTAATCTGATTGCAAATGCTGCTAGCACCTGGAC